GCGGCTGATGATCTGGACAGGCCGAAGAGACTTAGGACGATCTCTGATGGTCTTCCTCCTCCTCCTGCTCTCCTCAGGTGAGGGGGGTCCCAGCGGAGGAGCTGGGGTTGGAGCCATGTTGGCTCAAAGGGGTCGTACTTCTGCTCCGGTGCAGGCGGCGGGGAGTAGGCCTCATCGGTGGGGTGGAAGGGGTCATAGATGTCAAACCGAGGGGCAGGCTGGGCTGGGGGGGCTGGCGGTGGTGGTGGGGGAGGGGGGGAGGGGGAAGATGATGAGGGGGAAGGAGAAGGTGAGGAGGACGCAGAGGAGGGGGCAGGAGGTGGGGCAGGGCCCCCGTCTCCAGTCCCCAAGGTGAGGAGGTGGCGGGCACGGGTGGGTTGAGAAGAATGAGACTGAGGAGAAACTGCAAAGGAACGGGGAGACAGAGCTGTGGTCAGGTGCAGTCCCGCCTCCCTGTCCCCCCCAGGGAGGGGCTGCAGGGGAGCCAGCAGCCATCCATGCCCTCCCCCGCCCTCAGCACTCCCGCACCTACAGGTACTGCCCCAGTGCTTCGCTGTGTCAGCTCACAGGATGTTCCTAACGACTCTACACCAGATACTGTGAATCGAGGGTCCCAGGGGGAAACTGAGGCACAGAGAGCTGCGGTAGCTTCCCCAAGGACGCACAGCGGGGCTGAGTCAGGGTGCAAACTTGGTCAGTGCGGTCCCCCAGCCTGCCCGCCCTCCTGAGATGGACACTGGCCCGCAAACCAAGACCACCTTGACCACTGAGGGCAGGAATGTTACTGCAGAGTGTGCGGGCTTGGGCGGGAGAGCTGGATTCAAACCTCAGACCGCCCGCACGGCCAGGCTCAGGCCTGCTGAGCCGGCTGCCTCTGCGGGAGGTGATCCCATTTTACAGAGAATGGGAGCCTGAAAAGGCCACGCTCCCTCTGCAGAGCCGGGAAGGGGCGGAGCCAGGGAGCCCTGGCTGCCTGAGTCTCCACTCCAGACCCTTCACTGTGCAACGACCCCACTCAAGGGGCTACATCTGCTCAGGACGTGGAGACAACACCCGCCCGTGACGGGACGGCCATCATACTTTCCCACGTCACCTCGTCCACACCCCTGAAACCCTGCCTCCAAGCACAGGTCTCAGTGCCAAGTCCTACACCAGGACTTAGACACACATCAGAGTCCACAGGCCCGTCAGCCACATGTAACTGCAAGGACGCCAGCGCGTCACGCGGAAGCACAGGGGTGAGGGCAGCTCTGGAGCCATCTCCCGATCTGGATCCCAGGCGCCAGCCCTCCCTCATGACCTGACGGTGGGCAAGTCACTCAACCGCTGTCTGTTTCCTCAGCTATAAAGCAGGGTTCGTGCATTCATTCAATACTTTTATCTATCACCTCTTTGTGCCTGGTGCTGACTGGGGTACCAGGAATAGAAAGAGGAACAAAACAGACAAAAATCACTGCCTTCGAAGAGCTCACATTCGTGGGGAGAGAAACATCAACATGCCAAGCGTAGTCTGCCAGCTGCTGAGGGCTCTGGAGGAAAATGAAGCAGGGCCCTAGCCGGTTTGGCTCAGTGGATCGAGTGTCGGCCTGCAGACTGAAGGGTCCCGGTTCAATTCCCCTCAAGAGCACATGTCCTGGTTGCAGGCTCAATCCCTAGTAGGGGGCCTGCAGGAGGCAGCCAATCAATGATTCTCTCTCATCATTGAGGTTTCTATCTCCCTCTCCCTCCCTTTCTGAAATCAATAAAAATAAAAAAAGAATAAAACCCTGCAATAATAAAAATTATTAAAACAAAACAAAACCCTGCAATAAATCAAGTGACAATACCTAAATATATCCAAAATGATAGATTTAAAAAAAAAAAAAAAGTCTAGACAGAGTGGTCTGGGAGCACAGGCATCTCCTCCTTGATGTAGTTTTTATATAGGATTGGAAATAAGGGTGAGTTTTCTTTTCTTTTTCCTAAGTTCTTAGTATTTTCCAAATGAAGACCAAAAGAACACTTGGAATAAGGAAATAAAACATAACCCCTGAAGACAAACAACTACTAGGTTCTCTACACATCTATTTTACTGAAGGCCCAGGACCCACCATCTGTTTTTGTAAATAAAGTTTTATTGGAACACAGTCCCACTCATTTGTTTACTTATCCTCCATGGCTTCTAATTTTAACAGAAATGAAATTTCTTCTGTGGGCCCCTAAGAGTGTGTTGGGTCCTAGGCACCATGTCCCGAGCCTAACAGACAAGTCAAATTGCAGCTGTAAAAAAAGGAGAAGGAGCCCTAACTGGTTTGGCTCAGTGGATAGAGCGTCGGCCTGCGGACTGAAAGGTCCCAGGTTCGATTCCGGTCAAGGGCATGTACCTTGGTTGCGGGCACATCCCCAGTGGGAGATGTGCAGGAGGCAGCTGATCGATGTTTCTCTCTCATCGGTGTTTCTAACTTTCTATCTCTCTCCCTTCCTCTCTGTAAAAAATCAATAAAATATATTTTTTTTAAAAAAGGACAAGGAAACCGTGAACCGGCTCCGAGGGTCACTGAGCCACAGTGGCTCGCAGCTGACCTCCTGCTAGCCCTCCCTCTTCCTGTCCTCTCTACCCCTCCCCAAACATGTAGGCACATGCAAAAGGGAAGTCTAACCCAGGTCTCTTCGGGGTCCAGGGTCCAGCAGCAGCATCACCAGGGTTAGAAATGCAAAATCCCGAGCCCTACCCCAGACCTGCCGAATCAGAAACCCGAGAGCGGACCCGGCGACCTGTGCATCAAGAAGTCCTCCTGGTGCCCGGCCGGCGTGGCTCAGTGGCTGAGCATTAACCTATGAACCAGTCAGGGCACATGCCCAGGCTGTGGGCTCCATCCCCAGTGTGGGGCGTGCAGGAAGCAGCTGATCAATGATTCTCTTCATCATTGATGTTTCTATCTATCTCTCTCTCCCTTCCTCTCTAAAATCAATAAAAATATATTTAAAAAAAAACACCCTGGTGATTCCGATGCCTTCTCCTGTTTGAGAACCTGTGCTCATCCGTGGTGCTGGGGGCAGACTTTCACGTGGGTGGGTGTGCATCACAGACGTCAACAACTTGGGCCTTACACTCGGACACATCTGGGCTTGGGGCTCAGGACCACCCCTAAACCACTGGCTGTGCCACCCTGAACAAGTGACTTCCCTCTCTCAGCCTCTTCTCTGGAAGGCGGAGATGCTAAGAGTGTCCCCTCCTGGGGAGACAAGACCCCATGCAGGTACACTGACAGGTAGGACCCTGGAGCAGTTTCTACTTGAGGGATATCTGTAGGCACTGCGGCCTTAACTCCAGTGTAACAGGGGGAACGAACACGAAAATAAAGATTCTGTCTATATGACACAATCATCATGACTGTTTCCGGCGCACACAAAGCCAAGGCCGGCCGCCTGCCCAGCTCTGCCCTGGCCACACATACCCGTTTTGCCCGTCCTCCAGGCCCTGAGACGAGGCAGCAGGCTGGGCACCGGCAGCGGGATCGGATCCCTGTCCCCGATGCGGACCTCAGCCACCAGCTCCAGCATGTCCTCGCTTCTGCAGGACAGAAGGAGCGAGTGAGCCTCAGGGGTGCTCCCAGCTCGCACGCCAAGGCCTCTCCCACTCCAGCTCCCCAACTACTCACTCGCCAGGCTGCAGGTCCAGGTGGCTGGGAACCCAGGTGTCTGGGGGATCCAGGACGCTCACCAACCCTGCCAGGAAGCTGTCTGCGGCCATGTCCAACACCTGGGGTAGGGAGGCTCCACCCTGACCCTGATCCCGTGAGGACCACAAATCCCATCTCCCCAGCCCCTCACCTCTCAAGAACCCAGACAACTGAGACCCCCAAGAAAACAAATGGATTCAACCAATTCCCTCATGCTGACGGCCCCCAAGGCCTGACCCCCATACTCTCCAACACGGCCCCTGATCAGCACCCCAGACCCAGGAGGCTGGACCCCCACCCCCACCTCCCCATCTCAGGGATCCAGGCCCGGGGCCTGATCGTCCTGCCCCCTCCTTACTCACAGCAGCCGTGTCAGTTCCCCCTGACTCCTGGGAACGGGACTCTGACCGGGGGCTCCGGCAGCGCCTCCATCGAAGGCCGTGACACCTAGAGCCATCTGGAGAGAGAGACGCATGGGGACTGGGGACAGAGGACTAGTTGCAGAGGCTTCGGGGGGCAGAGGAAAGAGAAGCCCGCCCTCCTTCTTGCCAGGGAAGCCAGCTCCTGCCTGCTCTCCCAACCTCCACCTACCACTTCCCCAACACCCTCCTGAGACTCCAGCTCTCACCCATTCGGCCTCCCAGCTGCCCTCAGGATAGAGCCCAGACAAGGCAGCTCGGCTCTGACCTGGTCCCCATGGGCTTCTATTGCCTCCCCTCCCACCCCTGCCCACCTGCCCCTAAGAAACACAGATCAGCCCTGCAGCCCATCCCTGTGCTATGCGCCTGCTGTTGCCTCTTCGGGCTTTCTTCCTCACCGGACAACTCTAATAGGCCACCCCCTCCAGGAAGCCCTCCTGGACAGGTCCCTCCATTAGCTCAGCTGGACCTCCTGCCCGCTGGGGTCCCACAGGCTACCTCTGTGCCGTGACTGCCTCCCTTCCACCAGCCTGGGAACCCCTCCACGGCAGCCTCCTCTTCAGCTCCTCCGCCAGCACAGGGGCGGCCCCCAGGAGACCCCGGAGAAGCCGTGAAGGAAATTGGGGTAAAGAATGCAGGGATGGGGCAGGGAGCTTCAGAGGAACTAGAACCCCCCGTACCTTTATCATTCGCCAGGTCCCCCTGCAGGGAAGTTCCCACCGCCTGCTGAATGGCCCGCTGAAGAAAAGATGGGAGGTGGAGAGGTGGAGAGAAAGGGCGGCGGTCAGGGGGCTCGTGCAAATGGTCACGAGCTCTGCTCCGGGGAGACAGGCATTCTGGACACCCTACAACCAGACTCAAACCCTTCAGAGGAGCCAAGCGTCTAGGCCCCCAGCCCCTCCGCCCTCTGGGGACCCCCGAGTCCATACCAGACTCTCAGCCCCTCCCCCCTGTGGCCCCAGGTGGTTCAGGCCTCACCAGAATAAAGGCAGTCGGAGAAAGCGTGGGGTCTCTGTCTGGCGGGCCGTCGCCCCTGTCCTCGCCCGACTCCTCCGTCTTCCCTCGAGACTCATCTTCTTCCTCCATGGTCACCTGAGGGTTGAGGGATGAGAGTGTGGAGTGCAGGCCAGCGGGGCCGGGCGGGGGTGTGAGGTGTGTGTGTGAGATGTGTGTGCAGGCACAGGGACAAAAGCAGAGAATGGTCACGAGGACCTCAAGGGCCTCCAACGTTTTCCCACAGTCAGTGTCCTCTTCAGCATCCCTCCTCTCCCCCACCTCATCCCAGTCCTTGGGGGGCACCAGGTCCAGGGCAGACCCCAGAGGCAGTAGAGCCATTCCCTTCCCTCGTCTGGATTTCAGCTGCCTCCTGTCGAGGGGAGGCCTTCCCCGTCTCCGATGTCAACACCCCGCTCCGCAGACTCCACAGCTTCTGCCACAGCCCAACCTAAGACCTCCTGGCCCAGCCTCCTGGGATCCAACCCAACGCCAAGAATTCTCTCTGCTGAGCTGTGCCTTCAGATAGTGCGCTCCACAGTCCCATGCCTGCGCCATTCCTAAAATGAGGCGCCTCCAACACGACGCAACTTCCTAAAGCATCACCCATTTTCCTTGACGGTGAGGGACCCAAACTATTTACGTATCTAAGATGGAACGGTGACAGTGTGATTTGCCACACCTGTGTGCCGCTTTTGAAATGAGAACACTAACCTTAGAAGGGCCCGCTGCCCACCAGACACCCCCCGGGGACATGGCCTCTGGCCTGAATGCCCACCGCATGAAAGCATGGCTGCGGCCTTCGCGATGTCACAGAAATTCTTAGATTATACAGAAGCTGAGAGGTCACCCTTCAGATGCGGTTGTCTTAGTGAGGGCTTCAGAAAATAGGAGCATTTCAGCTGCAGGCTTCCCTCCAGCTGACAAACCCGCTTCTCTGCAACAATACCCAGTCTCAAAGTTCCTAGAAAGCTTCCAACCCCTAACCCCGCACTCAGGGTGCTTATCTGTATATGGCGCAATCAGCGTGTCTACCTCAGAGAACAGCGGTGAGAACTGAAAAGAGCCGCTTCTCCCACAGACTTAGCTCAATCCAGTGCTCAGCACAGGGTAACAATAATTATCATCTTTTTTTTTTTTTTAAATATTTTATTGATTTTTCACAGAGAGGAAGGGAGAAGGACAGAGAGTCAGAAACATCGATGAGAGAGAAACATCGATCAGCTGCCTCCTGCACACCCCCTACTGGAGATGTGCCTGCAACCAAGGTACATGCCCTTGACCGGAATCGAACCCGGGACCCTTCAGTCCACAGGCCGACGCTCTATCCACTGAGCCAAACCGGTTTCGGCTATCATCTTTATTATTAGCCTTGAGGGGCCAGGCTTCCCCCACACCCCCTTTCTCCACTGCCTACCTGCAAAGACCTCTGTCCTGGTCTCCCTCCTACCAGATTTTCAAGCTTTTAAAAAATATTATTTTTTTATTGATTTCAGAGAGGGGGAGAGAGAAAGAGGGAAACATCAATGATGAGAATCATTGAGAGAAACATCAATGATGGGAGAGAATCATTGATCAGCTGCCTCCTGCACACCCCACATTGGGGATCCAGCCCGCAACCCGGGCATGTGCCCTGACCAGGAGTTGAACCCTGACCTCCTGGTTCATAGGTCAACGCTCAATCACTGAGCCATGGAAGGCTGGGCAATTTTTCACGCTTTCTGAAAGCTCCCCCATGCCGCCTCCCACCTCTCTAAAGGCTCCTTCCCTAATTCCCCATTGACACCCGCCCAGGTAAGGCCCTAAGGACAGTTCCCAGCCCTGGAGCTTCCCTCCAGCACCTCCAGGGGGAAGCACAAGTTTCAGTGATTCACAGAACAGAAGCTTAATCAAGATCTGCAGGCTACAGACAGACACACTGATCCCCAAACCCTCCGTATGAAGACACTCCCTTGCCCATGCAGGCATGCCCCAAGCTGTGAAGACACACATGCCAGTGGCTCCTTTACATTTTTTTTTTTTTACTTGAAAAGGCTCTGCAGACATTGCTACGTCCCTCTAGATCAGTGAGTGATTCCCACCGATAGCCGTATAAGTGCTGCACAAACAGCTGATCACAGAAAGTAAATCAGTAGAACACAGTAGAAAATCCTTCACGTTGCAAGTACTAAGTGGAAATACCAACGGGACGTGGGTATATGGTTAAATATATATGTCAGTAGGTACTGGGGGTCTCAATGAAAAATGTATTTCTTACTGTAGATCAAGGTCAAGAGAGTTTGAGAAGCGCTGCACCGGATGGCTAGGGGATCGATCCTAGGGACTGCTCCACACCCATGTGGACCAATGCTCACTCCAGAGCCCCAAGGCAATGCAGACTTTGAAGACATTTTTTTTTCCATTTGAATTACCTTCTAAAGTGCAAGCACATTTGAGTTCCGCATATTTTCCAATAATCTCCTTTGTCTTATTCTCCATCTGATTATCTGGCCCAAAAGGCATTCGAATTTGCTCCGGGCATAGAGGCTGCACCCCGGCAGGCAACACTCAAAGCCACCGAGCGGGTCCCAGGTCCTTCTAACTGCCCCCCAGCCTCCTGTCACTCCGATCAGCCGCTCCCCAGACGCTGGAGACCCATCCAGGCCTCTCAGCACGTCTCAGTATTGGCCTCCCTCCCCTGGGGGGCACATCCCACCCCTAAATGACTTCCTAACCCGGGATCCGTTCCGGCAGGCCCGCTAAATGGCCCCGGACCCGGGTAGGTGAGTGGCATCCTCGGGTCAGCCCATGTAGACACTTCGCAGCCCCGATGGCCATACCCCAGAGCCACAGATGGCTCTGCAGACAGTCCTCGGCTCTTGCAAACCTCCCTCACCTCTGGGACATGTCTCAAGATCTCAAGATGGCCCCAGAACCCTCCGAACAGACCCTAGCCTCCGGCCAGCCCATCAAGACGATCCACAGTGCCTACAGACAAGACCCATGGTGGAGGGCAGGCGCCGGCCTCGGCCCAGGCCCGGTGGACGTCCCCAGTTCTCACGGGGACGCCCCGTAGATGCCCTCGGCACCCACAGACGCGTCCCGGGGCCTTGCGAAGGCCCCCCGTTCGGCGCCAGGCTCCGCCTCCGCTGCCGGACCGGAGGCCGCCCCGCTAAGTCCTCCGGGCCCCGCGGCGTGTAGGGAGGACCGCAGGACGACTAGCGACCCGACTCCGCCCCGCCCACCCCGATAGGCCCGAGCCCCGCGGCCCGGACCACCGCCGCCATCTTACCCCGCCGCTCGGGCTGCGGCTCCGGCCCCGGCGCGGGGCGGGGCGGGCTGGGGAGGTTCGCGAGCAGAGGAGGAGAGGGGGCGGGGTTAAAACGCCGCCGAGCTTGCCGGGACTTCAAGTACCGTGCACGGTGCCGTGAAGGCTGGTGGGAAGGCTCCGGACTCAGTTTCCCAACAGTCAACGGGGCGCCTGGGCAGGGGTGCGCGCGACGCACGCCGGGAGGCGTAGTCCGCGCGTCGCTTCCGTCACGCGGGGGACAGCAAGGAGGTGAGAGGTGAAGTGGGCGGGGTTGCGGTAGCCCGCGATGTAGCCCCACAATGCCTTGCGCGCGCGGAAAGAGCTGAGGAGCAGGAAGTGACCTAAAGAGCATTTAGCCCGATAGATGCAAGGGAATTGTAGTTCGGAGTGTGCAGTAGGAAAAAAAAAAAAATTGGATTGACTGCAAATTGCCCCGCCCACATTCTGGGGAGCCCAGAATCTCGATCCCCTCTAGTCCCCTCTAAATTTAGAACCCAGAAGGCCGGCCCTACAGCCTCCTTATTTAGGATAGTAAAGTCCAAATTCCTATTCCTCTCACTCGGCAGAGGATTTCGGGTTCCCATTTCCCTCCTCCCTGCGACTCAGGAGTCCGAGCCTTCCTCCTTCCTGAGATCCAGGAGTTGGGCCCTCGGACCATTCCTGGTCTCAAGCTCGTACCTTACACGAACACGGGTTCTGGTTCCCCACCTCAATTCCCTCGGGATCAAGAATTCCGGATCCCCAGCCCCTCCAACTCCTGGACCCAAGTCTGGCTGGGCCCTCAGCTTCCTCCTTTACGGGACATGGATAGTCCTCATAATAAGGACCCCCAGATCCCTCCTCCCCGGGATACAGGAATGCAGACCTCGAGCCCCATTCTCTCCTAGGGACCCAGGAGTCTGGGCCGTCAGCTTCCTCCAAAGACCCAGACTTCCTGGCTATAGGCCCTTCATGACCCAGGCGTCCCGGCCTGGGCGAGCTGGCTCATGGATTAGGAATGCAGTGATCTCACGGCCCCTCCCTGTCCCGTTACTGGGCTGTCCTCCCTCCAGGGCCCCAACTCCCCTCCCAGTCTGTCTTCCGCTTGGTTGGGACAGCGGGAACCGGAAGCCTGGGTCCCTTAGCGGGCGGAGACTACGACATCCAGCCCGGACGCCCGGGTCGGGAGTCTGGCCAGGATCCCAGGGCGGGGGTGGAGCTTCCCCCCAGGACCTGCTCCTTCCCTGGAGCGCGCCTATATACGGCCGCGCGGGAGCCGGCCAGCCCCGCCTACTAGAACAAGGCCCTGGGGAGGTGCCCTGAGAAGCGGCCTCACGGAGCTCCTTATTTGCATAGCCCCGCCCAGAACGATCTTTCCTACCCGTGTGCCCAAAGAATGAGATTTCATTAGCATAGCCCCGCCCCCAGACGGCCCTCCAGCCCAGAGCGCGTGGCGCCGCTCCCTGGGAGCGCAGGTCTCTGTCTCTCATTAGCATATCCCCGCCCCTCTAGGAATTCCCCTCCACGGGGAACGTCGTTCCTCAATCCCTATTAGCATAGCTCCGCCTTTTACCTAGCCTTACCTCCCCCTTAAGTGTACCGAGACTGTGTCATTTTCGCAGGAACTCATGATTATGCAGTAGGCTTATTAGCATGCCCCGCCCCCTAGGCCCCGCCCGGTTCCCCCCAGGCTGTAGCGGCGGCGGCGGCAGCGGAGGCGACATGAGCAGCGGGGCGGCGTCCGCGACGGGGCGGGGGCGGCCCCGGGGCGGGGGGCCGGGACCCGGGGACCCCCCACCCAGCGAGACACACAAGCTGGTGGTCGTGGGCGGCGGCGGCGTGGGCAAGAGTGCGCTGACCATCCAGTTCATCCAGGTAGTGGGGACCTCACTCGGGGGGTGCCCTCGGGACCCAGAACATAGTCCTTGGGGGGGAATCCCTGAGACCCCGATCTTCTCTTGATCCATCACTGAGACCCTCTTATGAGGCCCTCTAATCTTAAAAATCCCCCTGAGAATGTGACCCTGAGCCCCCCGGGACTGCCACCCTCTTACCTGAGGGACCTTCCTTCTCTACTCACGTCCTCCCCCAGGGCCCAGGACCCCCCTTCGCTGTTGACCTGACCCTGAGCACCTCCTGGGAGCACGTTAAATCCATAAGTCGCCCCATCCAGATCCTAAGCCCTTTCCTGTGCCCCCACCCTTGTAGATGCCACTTCCCCTCACCCTGAGCCCCATCTCCCCCAAATCCCAGACCTCAGCTTCCCCTCTGAGAGCCAGAGCCTAACTGGGAGAACGCTTGTGTCCAAAGCCCTTGAGATGCCCCCAGTCTGGATGCTTAGCCCTTTCAGGCACCTCCCCCAGAATCTAGAAATTATGCCCAAACTTTGCCCCCGATTCCCACCTGGGACCACCCAGTTCTAAGAGAGGTGCCCTCAGACCCAAGAGAGTTCTAAAAGGTCCTGTGCCCCTTGGTCATTCCAGAGAACGCTAAGACCCCAAATCCTGGGGCTCCCCCACCCCGCGAGACCCAGACCTCCCTCCTCCCCCTAAGGAAAACCAACCACTCCTCTTGAATTTTCCACTCAGACTCCCCGAGCCTCTCTCAGAAACCCTGGCTACCCTGCCCCAAATTAGTCTCCATGGAAGAAGCCCCCCAGATTCTTGACACCCCCAGAAATAGTAGCTACTCCTGAGGAGTGTCTCTGACCCCATAAATGCATGTCAGGGTCCCTACGACTCTAGACACGCACTTTCTGTTCT